CCCAATTTCTGTTAATGAAATTGAAAATGTAATTACATCCTTATTTACAAAGAAGAGCCCAGGTCCAGACAGATTCACTGTGAAATTCAAAGAAATTCAAAGAAATTCAAAGAAATACAAAGAAGACTTAATGCCGACACTCCTCAAACTCTTCAATGAAATCAAAAGGGAAGCAATTCTTCCTAAGTCATTCATGGAAGCAAATATTACTCTAGTACCAAAACCTGAGAAAGACTCAAGTGAAAAAGAGAACTACAGACCAAATTTCCTAATGAACACAGATGCAAAAATTCTCAAATAAAGTACTGGCAAGCAGAATGCAGCAAATCATCAAGAAAATTATATTCCATGACCAAGTGGAATTCATCCTAGGCATGCAAGAATGGTTCAACATACATAAATCAATAAATGTAGTCTACCATATCAATAGAGGCAAAAGTAAGAATCACATGATCATTTCTATAGATGCAAAAAAAGCTTTTGATAAGAATCAACACTCATTCATGCTAAGAACCTTACAGAAAATTGGAATAGATGGTCTTTATCTCAATATGATAAAGGCCATCTACAACAAACCAATAGCCAGCATCTTATTAAATAGCCAGAAACTGGAGGCCTTTACCTTAAAATCAAGCACAAGACAAGGATTTCCCTTATCACTGATCCTAAATAACATAGTACTGGAAATTCTAGCCCAAGAAATTAGACAAGAGAGACAAATAGAAGGAGTAAAGATAGGAAAAGAGGAAGTTAATTATCATTACTTGCAGACATGATAGTCTACATAGAAGACCCCCAAAACCCCATTGAAAGACTCCTAAATATAATAAAATATAAATATAATAATAATAATTGTAAGACTCCTAAATATAATAATTAAATATAGCTGGATACAAAGTCATTACTCAAAAATCAATAGCATTCCTGTACACAAACAACAAAATCACTGAGAGAGAAATAAGAGAAGCCACACCCTTCGCATCCAAAAACAGGAAATACTTAGGAATTAATCTCACAAAAGAAGTTTTCCTCTATACAGGGAAAATTCTAACACCCTGAAAAAAGAAATCAAAGAAGATCTCAGAAAATTGAAAGACATCCCTTGCTCATAGATAGGAAGAATAAATATTGTGAAAATGGCCATTCTCCCAAAACTGTTATACAGATTCAATGCAATCCCAATGAAAATACCACTAACATACCTCATAGATATAGAGAAATCACTCCTAAAATAGGAATCAGAAGAGACCTAGAATAGCAAAGACAATTCTCAGCACCAAAGGCAAAGCAGGAGGCATCACAATCCCTGATGTGAAGTTGCACTACAAGTTACTGCAATAAAATCAGCATGGTACTGAAATAAAAACAGAGCTGAAGATCAATGGAATAGATTAGAAGATACAACCACAACTACAAACACACACAGCCTTTCTATCTTTGGTAAAGGGGCCAAACATGTTCACTGGAAGAACGACAGTCTCTTTAATAAATTTTTTTTCTCTTTAATAAATGGTGATGGAAAAACTGGCTCTCCATATGCTGAAAACTAAAACTAGACCCATACCTATCACCATGTACTAAATTAAAATCTAAATGGATCAAAGATCTGAATATTAAAACAGAAACACTAAATCTATTGGAAGAAAAATTGGGTAAAAATCTTGAAGACATAGGGGTAGGTAGAGAATTCATGAACAGAAATCAAACCGCACGGGAAATACTTCCCTGAATCAGCAACTGGCATCACCTCTTATTAAAAAGTTTCTGCATGTCAAAAGAAATCTCCAGCATATTGAAAAGAAAACCCACAAACTGGGAAAAAATCTTAATGAACTGTCCCTCAGACAAAGCACTTCTGTTTAAAACATATGAAGAATTTTTAAAAAATCAGACACCCAAAATTCAAAGATGCCATCCAAAAATGGGCATCTGAGATGAATACACAATTCTCAGATGAAGAAATACAAATGGCAAATAAATACACATAAAATGTCCATTATCATTAGTCATTAGAGAAATGCAAATTAAAACCACACTGAGATTCCATCTCACTCCTGAAAGAATGGCCAGGATCGAGATAACTACCAACAACAAATGCTGGAGAAGCTGTGGGGAAAAAGGAACTCTTTTGCACTGTTGGTGGGAGTGTAGACTGGTGCAACTATTGTGGAGGTCAGTCTGGAGATTTCTCAAAAAGCTCAGATTGGAAGTCTCATTTGCTCCAGCTATTCCACTTCTAGGCATATTCCCAGAAGAACTGAAAACATCATACCTCAGTGATATATGTGCACCCATGTTTATAGCAGCACAATTTGTAATAACTTGATCTTGGAAACAACTTAAGTGTCCATCAACTGAGGAATGGATAAAAAAGTTGTGGTATTTTTATACAATGGAGTACTACTCAGCTATAAAGAATGATCACATTGAGATATTTATAAATAAATGGATGCAACTTGAGACCATACTCCTAAGTGAAATAAATCAAAGGCACATGTATATATACTCTCCCTAGTGTAAGAAATGGTAAGTGTTCATAAGATTTTCTGGTAATCATGTTCCCCATTACATTTCTTTGAAGCCTTATAAAGTTTCCATTCATTAGTTGGAATGGGTTGTTTCTGTTTTGTTTGATTTTATTATGTGTGATTGTATGAACAGCTATTTTGAAGAAAACAAGACATTATGGCAGACATTGCTGATTTAATATTATCTTGCTTTGAAGTCCTACCATGCTTTTGTTTTTCTGTTTCCATTGGTTCTATCATGTTGTGTCTTATTTGATTTTAATATGTGTGATAGTATAAGCTAATTTTCTATGCAAAATGAGATAATATAGTAGCTATTGTTAGTTTTCTGTTATTTGGTTCCGAATGCCCTGTAATACTTTCAGTCTCTTGAATGGCTTTACACTATTTTATATGTTTGATACTATTGTATGTGAAGGTATGTAACCTTACACCGCTTTGTTTCGTTTTGTTTTTCTCTTTTTCCTCTTAAATAAAAAAAAAAAGAAAGAGACATCATGGTAGCTACTCTTAATATCCAGTTGTGTTGTTGCAAGTACTGTGTTGCTTACATTGTTCTGTTCTGATCTACTTTGTTCTGCCCTTTTGTCTTAATCTCTTTAAAATTAAAAAACATAAATCATCTATAGTAGACATTCTTAGGGAGTAACTATTATTTTTATTCCATCTTTTGGATAAAATGAAGTGGTCACAAAGAATTATACGGATCCAATCTAATGGATTCATATACTTCAGTAGCAATGAAACTAATTTTATGGCCACAATTACGTTAGAACTTATGAGTAGATTGTTTTTCATTAGGTTTTATGCAGACTTCTTTTAAGGACTTTCAATGAGAATTGCATGGAGAGAAATTATACAAAACTATATATTTATTCTCATCCCAATCTTTCAGTCTTGGTTGGCTATTTCTCTTTTTCTTTTGGGATCCGTCCACTCTACTGATTTATGGGCCCTGACCTCACTTTGCTGCCACTCTGCACTACCTAACTGTTCTTTGAATGCTCAATTGTTCCTTCAACTTGATGTGTTTCCAACCACTGGTTCACACATGACTTAGTTGAAATAGTTCTGATCCTATATGAAGGAGTACCACGGAAATTTCTCTAGCTTCATCTCTAAACTTGCTTTTGATATTTGCTTTGGAATAAAGTATGATTCATTTTTGTAGAAGCATATATTTATGTGACTATAACCTCAGTCAGCAACAACATATTTCACGCAAAAATTTGTGTTCATTTATTTTTTCTGTCCATAGTATTCATAAGATAATCAGACCACTTCTTAATGTCATTCTCACATCCAAAATAAAACAACTTAGAGGTTTAAATGTGAGTTTTTTGAAATCATGTTAGGAAGTCAAATTAGATGAGTTCTTTAGTATATACTAGAGTAGTTGTCATAATAAGCAGACAGCACTTGCAAGGAATTACTTATAGCACATACTTTTAAAAAATTATCTCTTCTGAGGGAAAAAGAAAAAAAGTTAGTAAAGACATTTACCATAGATTCTTAACCACACAGGCTGTAGTGATGAGAGCCCTGCCTGGAGAGTCAGAAGGCAAGAGCCTTTCATCTTGATGAGGGTGAGTTACTAGTATTTGCCAATGGAATATGAATAAGAATGATTGTGCCACCTCCCTGTTAAGGTGGCTTTGAATCAAGTATGTCTTCTTCATGCTTTTCTTTTCCTAGGTTCTGGCTGGATGTTAAAATCCATGGTGATACTGGAAGCCACATGTTGAAGATGGCAGAGCCACTCTCAGCCAGAGTTCCTGAATGACTGCAGAACTAAAATAATTTGCCCTTCTCTCTTACCAATCAGGAATATTTGCACTATGTTAAGAATTGACATCTGAGATTTTGTGTTACAACAGCTATATTTCTAATTAAGTTGTTTCTCCTCTTTATGCCAACCTGTTTAGGTTGTTGTAATGATTAATTGAGTTAGAACAATACTTTATATGCAATAAATGTTCAAAATACTAATTATTTACATTATTGCCTATTTGGATATGAACTAGTTATAAGTCATTGAACATGTCAACTTTCTTGGACCTCCATTTTCTTAACTACTAAGTGGGAGTCATGCTTGATAATTTCTGAGTCATACTAAGTTTGAAATTTTCTTCTCAGATGCTTTTAAATTTGATAAGAAAAAAGAAAAGATCTTAACCCATGAAAAGTGGCTGGAGGACAGGAGAGAGGCATTTCAAACATCAGGTAAAGATACAGGGAAAATGGAGGGCCAGGGCTATAGCTCAGTGGCACAAGTGCCTGCCTGTCAAGCATGAGGTCATGAATTTGATCCCTGGTACAAAACAACAACAACAATAACAACAAAAAGATGTAAAATAGAGGATAACACATGGGAATCTGAGAGAGAAATTGTTATTTAGCTCATGATTTCTTTCTGAAAATTATCCACCAGTTTCTGAAATAAATTTTGGAGAGAAGAAAAGATTTACAAACCGAGCTGTGTCCGTGAGACTCTCATTCACACCCAAATGAATATCTTGCCTGGTAAGAAAGCAAGGGTGTCCACCCAGAAGTGCAAAGCCTACAGTAAAAGAAAAAGAAAAAAGAAGTATTTTGAAAAAAATCTGAAGTGTGAAACAAAATTATAAGGAATTGGCACAATCTCAGTCATGATGTTTAAGCTCTCTAACTTCTCTAACAGGGAACTTGCAGGCAAAGCAAAGTGAAGAATTTAAAGTGGATGAAATTTTGTGCACATGGACTTAACTTTCTTTGAAATCCTACCCCTTTTCCACTCTGTTGTTCAGGACCTGACAATAATGGGACATGGTTTTATTCTGTTTTATCCTCTTTAAAATAAAATAACATAAACATTTAAAACAATATAGAAACAAAACAATCAACAAATTAATGGGAATGCAATATATTAATAACTGCAATTTGATATCAGAGGCATTGGTGTGCTCCTTATGCTAACATTTTTACTTTTCTATTTACTTGAAAAATTTCATAATGAAAAGTAAAAATGAAAATCACACTAGTATTAATTTTCATTACTATATGAAAATTAAGTAACTGTATCTGTTTTATACTTAAAAGTGTTCCCTTAAATATTTCCAGATCAAATGGGTTTTAGCCAGAGGCCATCATGTTCTGGCTCTTGCAATGCTAATTCATAGAGCATGATCATGTGCTGGTAATTTATTAGTATTCTTCTACTGACTCCCTCACTCTGACAAAATGCACTATAGATAATATTATAAGAATTTTATAGCCAGTGGTTCTGACAATCAAAAAAAATTGTGCAAAATTGTTTTTTGAACCCATAGGGAAGCTATCCCTTGGAACAACTCATACTGTGATCTACAGAAAAAGTATGACAAAGTAGAACTGGACTCAGGCTTCTCCATCTAGAAAACAGAGCAATTTACCTAGAATCTTTAGATCTCTTGCTGATCTGATGTGCTAGGTTTCAGGTAGAATTAGGGAATGCAAAGCACCCAGATGACCCTACTTTCCATGGGCTCTGTAATAAAGTCAGACAATATTTTTGATACTTCACAGTTGAAGCTTTTGAAACTCACCTCTTCAGTTTCCTTTTCTGCCCTATTTCTGGGCAAGTTAAGAAAGTGTGGGCACTCCCTTCTTTGGCCAAACCTCATAAAACCCTACCTGTGCACAGAATCTTCACCTTAGCTACAACCATAACCATAACCACAATAAAACATCAACTCAGTATTATTTCCCAGCTCTCCCAGTTTGGTCCAAACTCTCTCCAAAGAGAGCTACATTATGTGAGCAATAAACTTATTGTACTCTCTTGGTGAATGTGTGGTGCTCTCACTGTCAACAATTCAACAAAATCTTAGATGGATGAAGTGACCAGAAGTTCTGGTCTCACAGCACGGTTGTGAACTGTATTCATTATTTTCTAAAATATATATCTCTTGCTCTTCTAGGCACTGAGAAAAGCATTGTTAATAAGACTCAAGTCCTTGCTTACATGGAATTTATATAGTGTTGACAGATAGATTGTAAACTGAATGAGTAAATTAAATATATGTTAGATACTGATGATTTCTGTAAGAAAAAAAATAGAGCAAAGAGGGAGGACAAAAATGTAAGAGACAGGTATGGTCTTTTTAAGTAGTGTGGTCAAGGAAGCCAGACTGTAGGACATCTGAGTGAATATCTGAGGAAGATGGGCGAATGAGTCTCAGAAAACATATAAGACAGTGTTAAAAATATGTTTAGAGGTCTTTTGTAAGGGTCATAATTGGTGGGCTTCGGGGACAACAAGAAGTTTGGTTAGGAGGTCCAGAATGTGATGAGCAGAGTAGTAGAAGGTGAGGATGCAGAAGGAAACCGGTCAAATACGTAAGTCACATTACTGGCTCTTCCTTTAAAACATATCTAGAAAATGCCCCTTCTACTTGTCACTGTTAGTTCATCTTGGTTGGAGCCTATCTTTACATAGCTCCTGACCCACTACATCTATCTTGTTTCTACATCCTCTTACATATACTGTCTATTCTCAATAGAGCAGTCAGAGCCATCTTTGTAAATGCAAGTGAGATTGTGTCCCTCCTTTGTTTAAAACTCTCCAATGATTCCCCATTTCACTCAGAGTGAAAGTCAAAGAATCAATGACAGTGTATATATCTTTTCTTGAATTCTACACACATTCTTCTGCTTGCTAAGATCACATATCACTTTCTAATGTTCTATTACTCACTTGCTTATTGTGTCTATTATTTATTTTATGCATACCCAGTAGAAGGGAAGTTCCATGGAGGGAGGGTTTTTTGTGTTTTATTTACTGATGTGTCACTCAAGCACTTAGACTTTACTGAAGAGTAAATGCTCAAGACATACTCATTGAATGAAAAAAGGAAGGACTTTAACTTGGGAAAGAGGGCCTGTTTTCTGCACTGATAAATACTTCTTCATTTTGTTAATAGAAAGTACAGAAATTGCTACTGTCTGTGAAATGAGCTACTAGAGTTTAATGATGATTATAATCAATAATCAATAATCAATCCTGAGCACTTACTTTATTTACGAACAGGCAAAGTCATCTAAACAAGTCCTGTATATAAGTCTTGTATATTGATCAAGAATGTATTTATTGTGCACCTATCATGTGACTAGCACAAGGATGCGTACCACTGAAGAAAGGTAGGAGCTAGAAGAGGAAGACTGAAGATAAAGTATAAGACATTCCGGTTTGTCTGAATCAGATCGTATTCTTTCTTTAACTAGAAATCATTTTGTTGTAGTAACTCATGATTAGTCTTCCTTGTGCTATAAAGAAGATTCACTGTGAGCCTGGACTTATTAGTGGGAGTGGGAAGATGAGTCACAAAAAATGTTTATAGCTGAGAGTCCCAAACTCCAGCAGCTCATGACAAAATAAAAGGAGAGATGCTGCCTCTGAGAAGTAATTTCAATTTGTGGTCATTAATTTTAAAAAACCCTCATATTCAAGTTGAAAAGCAGAATCTAATCATTTACTTGTTTATCAGTGATGATAAGGGTTTAAGGTATGTCAGGTCTTCTGAAAAAACCACCAAAAGCTGCATTACTGAGGAGGACAGAAGAATGGGTATCCACTTTCTACCATTCATCCAGAGAAGTATGCTTTTGTCTATTTCATCTGTTTATGCTTTCACACTACATTTTTTTGAACAATGGATTTCTTAATCTCTGAGAAAATGGAAGTAAATATTATTTTTCTCTTTCTTTTCCTCACATATCCCTGCAGGCTATGAAATAAAGGATAAAAATAGAATGGATTCACTATAAATACAAAAGATCTAGGGGGTCTTTCTGACAGAACTAAGGCAGTCATTTCTCTGTGCTTGGCTTTCATGGCTTCAGAATATTATCATAATTTATGTCTTGGCATTTTTGTAAAGATGATGAATTTGAAACAAATGTGAAAGTACCACCTTCTAGTTCACCTTGAAAGTGAAACATCAGTGTTCAATTATGAAAAGAACCATCTCGTAATATGCCCTGTGCATTTCCCTATCAGCTACTGTTTTTACTGATATTAATAAATCTATCCGTCAACTGGTTCAATTAATTTGCAATAAAAGAATATAATGACAACTAGACACAGGAGAGTTTCCTGGTTTTTAAGAGAAAAATACATAAAAAGTGGATGACCAATGAATGATCTACTGCTATATTTAGTGACATGGATACATCTCACAACCGTAAGGCTCAGAAAAAGATACCACAAACAAAGGAGTACATGCTGAATGATTCCATTTATATAAGTTTGAAAATAAGCAAAACTAATTGGTGGTGTTAGAAGCCAAAGTAATATTATCTTTGAATGGAGTGAGTCACCAGTAGAAAGAAATACACAGTGTAAGGGCGAGTTTGGGTGTTACTAACATTCTGTTCCTCTAGTTAAGTGTTGCACCAATGTACTCACTGTAAGAATTCATTGAACTCCATATATACTTAGTGATTTTTACACTTGTCTATACACATTTTTCACTTTAATAAACATGTTACACAAACAACTGATATTATTTAAATTGGGTGGAGAATGTTATTCTCTTCCCTGAAGTAAGTAGAAATACTGCTGGATCTCTAGATCTCAGGCTTGGGATGAAATTCTTAAGGTTTATTCTGTGAGAATCTGCCGGGACTGGCACAATTCTGGGGCAACCTCAGACAATTAGTTACATTTTATTTTTACTCTAAACACCAAAAAAGAGGCTGTACCTATTGAAAATGTATGCCAAAGGACAACTACTAAGATTCACATATCCACAATAGAAATACTCTGCCATGATTTTGGTGGGAGTTTCCTATTCCTATAAGCACTTAAGGCAGCTACACACTTTAACTGATTCTCCTTCTGCTGAGTTTGGCAGCATCCTCTGTGCATTTAGACCACAGGTATTTATTGTGGATGGTGACAAATACCCTGTGAACCACAAGTTGTAAGAGCCAGTATTCCTTTCCTCATGTATTTGTTGTTATGGTTTGCAATTTTGTGCAGGTCTTAGAATCCTTCATTTAACAAAATGTTTATGGTCATTTGTAGAAAAAATTTTACTAGAACAAAATGCAACTATTGCATGTCTCAATGGCTTCCATGTCTGGGTTGTATGTGTTAAGAAAAAAAGCCTAAGATTTTAGGCACGAACCATAGATTTTGAATATATGGATAATTAGAGCCAATTTTCCTCTTGCCTTGTCACCTGGTCTCCAATACTGGGAACTGGAAGGGGATCAAGAGGAGTGGAAAGAAAAGCAAGATAGATAGAAATTGATGGATCTTTGACACTGAGCCTTGTGTATTCCCCAGACCAATTTCCAAAGGGTGCAGAGCATTATAGAAGGCTCAGAGTCTAAGGAACCTCTGTACTGAGAATACTGTATGTGTTCCTTTCTTTAAAGAAAGAGCTCAATTAGGGGGGAAATCTTCTAGAGCTCCCTGGTTCCCAGCATGAGGAAGAGATGGCCTTGCAGTATCTCTGTGCCCATTATGGTTTGGTGAACTTGGTTTGAGGGAATCAAGCCAAAATAACTCAAGAACGGAGATTGGAGTGGACAAAAGTCCTGCAGAAAATTGGAGGTAGACAAGACCCAGTGAAAATACTGGCAGTCCCAAATGACTCCAGGATAGATATTTGATGATGATATTCGCTAATCAAAGAATAAATTCCTATATCCCTAAATGTTTTAATATTGAGATAGCTTCCAGGATTTTGCCTGGAAAAAAAGGAGAGGAGACCTGAAGTTGACAAAGTAAACCCTGAGACAGCTGAGGATTTCCTGATGTGGAAGAGGTTTCCACCATCTAGCAGAATTGGAGCATATTCACATAATATAAAAATAGAAACATTTCTCACATGAGTTTGAGGCCTGAGATTTGGGGGTCCATCTGCATTTTGCCCTGAATATGAACAGTTATGTGGGGCCTCCCTCGAGCCTTCTAGGAACTTCTGCCGACAAAGCTAATCTTTCTGCCCGCTCCCAAATTTAACACAAGAGTATGTTTTTCAGTGGACTCACCTGTCTCTGTAGACAGTCTTGTTCGAGTGCTTCTTTTTTCAAAAATCATGCCTAAGGATTTCCCTTGTAATAAAGGCAAATACTGAAAATAAAGGACAGAAATACAAAAATACAATTGAAATGCAAAATATCTTTTATAGTCAATATCAAGGATTATGTTTTAAAACTTAGTTTTTACTAAGAATTTCAAAATATTCTGTTTTGTTTTGTCTTAGTTTCATTCAGTTTTTTTGAGACAGAGTTTTGCTATGTAGTTCAGTATGGCCTTGAATTCACTATGTAGCCCAGGATGGTTTCAAAATGAGTTGTCCTCCTGCCTCAGCCTCTCAAGTGCTGGGTTATAGGCATGTTCCAGCTCTCTACAAATATTCTATAAAAAGTGAATTTAAAGTGTTTTTTTCCCCTGGGACTGGGAATTTAGCTCAGCAGCGTAAGCGCTGGCCTTGCAAACATGCCTTTGTGAGTTCAATCCCCGGTAAAAATAAAAAAGTGGTTTTTTTCCTATATCCAATACATATGGTGATATGGTGAAAAGCAAAAGTAATACTCATAGCTTATTGACATATATTTAGAAAGTAATACTAGTTATTCTGGGTTCAATTTGGATACCTGTTCCAAAGTATAATAATATTTCATATTGGAACTATTATTTTACTTAACTCCATTGAGATGCCAATTCAATTTTTGATAACCTCCAAGATATTTGGTTCAAAGGTGTTTTCTCAGCAAAAACATGCTACTCTGTCACAACATGGAACATAACACTTTTACTTGGGTCAGTGCTGAAGCCTCAGATTTTTCAGCTACACAGTCTTTCTGCACCCTAATGGGTGTACAAAGTCTTTGCTTCTGGAAAATAATCTGGAGCATTTGGGTATGGGGTGGGGCTCTTCTTCCTTCCTTTCTGTTGATTGACTTCCTGATAGGATGAGTTTTGGAACAAATAGCATCTTGACAGCTAACTTTTCTCATACAAAGAGAGTGAAGAACAAAAGCTGGGATCTAGAGAGACCTTCCCTCATCATTTCAGGTATTCTGTTGGAACATCAACATGTAGTATTTGGGGCCACACTCGTCTTCAGGTTGCTCCTTGGAGTTTGAAAGGCTAGCCAACTAGATAAGAAAATTAAGGTCATGTTGAACTTTCTCAACCTGAAACCAACTTCAGAAAGATATTGAATGAGATTGAAATAAAAGTGTTTTTATAATTTATCCATATAAATGAAGCTATTGAATTAATAGGTCCAGGGATTTAGCTCAGTGGCTCAAGCACTTGCCTTGTAAGTGCAAGGTTGTGAGTTACATCCCTGGTAGCCAAACAAGCAAACAAACAAAAAAATTGCATGGGTTCAAAGAGATTGTTCAAAATGCAGACTAATGCTTATGGCTAAGCACCCTACTTGCCTACGTTTTGTATTTTGCTGATCAAAATGCTTTTCTAAATGTCATCACGTCACTGAAAATTGTTTTTAATATTATCCCAATGATTGTATACTGCTATTTATCCAGAACTGAATTTTGTTGCTAGAAAAAATATTATCTTTATTTTTAGCTTGATAAAAAAATTATAGAGAAAACAAAGGAGTTATAAAAATAAGATCTTTCCAGCCAAATGGTTCCTTAAGTTCTGATTCAGTTAATAATGAATTTCAGCATTCCACATGAAAGAAGTGCAATGATTTGTTATAGAATAACTGATTTTTGTGGCTTTTTTATATGCTTGTACACTTAGTGATAATCAATTACCTTGACTGTGAGGTTTCATTACTTAGCTACTCTTTAGGAATTTTAATGTATTTTATGTTCCTTCTTCTTTGGGAAATCTGCCTTTGAAAAGGCTGATTGGTACTAATGGAAGCTAGGGAAAAATTTACATACTTCGCCTTTCTGTTTTATTCTAAATTTCAGATCTGCTGATAACCATAGTATATATTTAATTTCTTCTCCTGTAAAGTTCTTTAGAGTCAGGAAGTCACGACCCTTCAACTTTACTTCATTTAGTAGTGGTTGTCCATGCCTACAATAAAAAGAAAAAAAGAGAAATGCATATTTAAGGAAAAAATACATGTTTTATGGCAGTCCATTGTTCTGGATACAAAATATAGCAAATCACACATAGCCTTATATAGCTCTACAAAATGTTAATGTATTTAAACTGACATGGATGTGGTTTATATTTTAGATATCCAATATTTGAGATGTGAAAGAAAAGAATTTGTGGAAATAAATTTAATACTGATTTACTTGAAATACTCCATTTGAGTGGCTTTTCCACTTACTAGTCATGCAATTTCAGGCAAGTAAATTTCTATCCACACAAAAATTTCTCTCCAAGAAAATGAGAGTAATAAATCTTAGTAATGTTGATATGAGGATGAAATGATTTAGTGCATGTAAAACAGGCAGGGTCTGGCATAAATATGCAGTTGTAAAATTTTATGTATTATTATTGAAACCATTAGCATATACAAGCATAATTTATAATGTATGATAGAAAAATCACTTCAGTTTCTCCCTCCACTTTATTTTAAAATTGTTCCTAGAGACTGTTTTCTTTTCTTTTTCTTTTTTCTTTTTGGCACTAGATGAAAAATACAGGTGGCACTGTAGCTTTTTTAATAGTTTTCAAAAAAAAGTCTTCTGCTTATTTTACTACCCCAAAGAAGTGCAGTAAAATAATGTATAACAGTAATATAACACTAGTAATTATTGGAAAGAAAAAAACTTAAGAAATTTACCGCAAGTTGACACCTTTTCTCTTCTAGTTTATGCTTGATTCAAAATGGCCTCCTTTATGAGGGCCCCCTCTAAGTACCATGAGCTGTTTCCTGTTTCTTATTTCCTTCCCTTCAATTTCTCTAAGTGAAGTCAAAGAAGGTGAGGAGTTAAGAGCCAATGGAAAGTTCTATTGTGCTCCAGTCATCTAGCATTGGTGTGGTAATTTGAGGCTGACTGACTTGTCAGTTGCTTTTGTAAGTCTTTTGAAGAACTCTGTGACCACTAGAAATTTCTCACAGGAGTTTTTAATGTACACAATCATATTTCCACTGGCCTTAAGGGGATATTCCAGGCATTTTTTGATGAGATATTCTCACGTTCCCAGGAGATCTCTTGGTCATGACCTGAAACAGTATAATGTCATGGATCACTTTCTTGGACCATGTTACTTCATTGAAAGTCCTCCAAGTTCTTTACCTTATGAAGAATTGGAAGAATCATGCCCATCTTGATTTAGACACCTCTTTTCTTCTTCTGTCAGAGTATCTAACTAGCCAGTACCTTTTAGTTTAGTTTTCTGAGATTTAGGCCTGGTATCAATTTACAGTGCCCCGAAGTTCTCCTATTGAAGATATTGGTCCCACTGGAGCCACCTTTGCTAAGCTTGAAGAGAGGAAAGATTATCTACTTCATGGGGGACATAGCATGCATAATGTAATACTCTCCAAAAATATTCTTTTCTTATCTTTTTTTTTCTTTTTAACTCTTCTACTTTCTGAAAAGTTTATCTTTCTAGTTGAAAAATAATAATTGTATATATTTATGGGGTACAATGTTATGATCCTATATATATATTTGTAATAATTAAATTGGTTAATTAGCATTTAATTATCTCAAATATTTATCATTTTTGGGATGAAAACATTGAAAGTACTCTTTTAGCTATTTTGATACATTTAATAATTTATTAGTAACTATAGCCACTGTGTTATTCAAAGAACATCAGAATTTATTCTTTGAATCTAATGGTAACTTTGTACCTGTTGAGCAACGCCTCCCTTTCCCCATTCACAGTCTCTATCTCTAGCCCCAGTAACTACCAATCTACTCTCAATTTCTGATTTCATTTTTTTGGATATCACATGTAACATCATATGGCATTTGTCTCTCTTGTGCCTGGTTTACTTCACTTAACATAATACCCTCTAGGTTCACTCATAATGTTCCTGGTTTTCTTTTTATAGTGGAAAAGTATTTCATTGTGCATATATTCTTTAGTTTTTAAACTCAATTCCTCTGTTGATTAACACAGGGTTGTTTCTATGTCTTGGCTATTGTGAATAATGTATGCCAAAGAGACTTCTACAATTCCATTTTCCAAACACATCTTCTAATCTCCAGACCCTCTTTTAGTTTCTGCAACCTGTTTTACAAGCTAGAGGCAGTTACCCAATATGTTGAAAACTGATTCTTGTCTGTCTCCCTTGAAAGTCTCTTCTTAGAGGGCTAGCCTTACACCTGGGAGTAAAAAAGTCAGTATTTTTTGGGCCTAAGCAGAAACTAAAACACAAAGAGACCAATTTTAACGTTTTGGAAACCAGGGATATAGTTCAGTGATGCTGCTGCACCTGCCTGGCAAACATGAAGTCCTGAATTTGATTTCTGGTACCAAAAAATGCTGTTACCTTGATTCAGTTGACACTAATTGTTATTGGGATAATCAGCCTGTAAGATGGACAGCATATATTTTATTATTCCCTCTGTTAATCTGCATTTGACAATAACAAGTATTGTATACTTCACTGGTGGAAATGAATACATGAACTGGAAATAGTGAATAACTGGGGGCAAATTGTGATTTACCATATTGTTAAAATTAATTTTACTAAGAATATGATATATATCACAAAATGATTATGCTTGAATTCTAGCTTAGGAAGAGACCTTTTTTTATTTGGGATGAGGAATAAATCATGTGTTTAGATTTACATATGTAGCTTTTTTTGCAATGATAATAAATCATAGATAGGAAAATCATGAATTCACTAAATTTGCTGTTTTTATGTGTGATGGTAAAATAACTCACACAAATGAATATTTTGCTAAATATCTAACTTTCTGGCAGAATTAGCTGATATATTTGCTGTTCAGTTGGTGAACAGATTATGTTCAGTGGAAACTGCATGTGACTAAGCACTTTAGAGAGTATGCTTAACAAGGAAAGAACTTCCACAAAAATTGAGAGCTTGTAGGTTGTTTGGCTAACTAGTTGATTGCATGATTTAAAATATTAATAATGCATTCAATTATATTTATAATTATTCATAATAATTATATTTTCAGATTATATATGAAACAAAATTTTTATTAGCACTCTTATTTCAAAGATACACTGTTACGTGTAACTTTTAAAAATACATGAATCATAGACTCTCCAAATGAGAATTTCTTTGAAGCATTGGTCTTCAATTTTTAAATTACCCTTAAGACTGAAAAGTTTTTGACTGTACATTCATAGTATTTGTTAACTTATTTACAATATCTATGTGCAACTGTAGATTATATTTAACAAAACGTAAACAAAATTTATTAAGAGGAAAAAACTATTTACAAAGTAAGTCTATAAATGTTCAGAAACATTTTGCTGGCTAAAGGAGAACATATCTTTATCTTATTCTGCAATCCTAGTAAGAGCCACTTAAAACTGCCTACAACATCTCAATTATGGTCATTCATTTGATAATTTTGGAAGCATGATATTTAAGTAAGAAATTTGAATTTACATAAGAATTTTGGCTATGAATTTGGCCCTGGTAATATTAAATAGTGATAATTTCAAGCAACACTTGAAATATATAAGTCCTGACACTTGAGAATTAAACACTTTGATAGATGTTCAGGTATTTTCAATGTGAAATGGAGCCTTCTTTGGATATCTGTAAAATAGGTCATGCATGTCTTGTCTGGAATGAAGGCTTGGTAGCTTAACCTTTACCAATTCATATTTAGGGAGGTTTTGAAAAATATGTTTTCTTTTGAAATAAGATCCAAAAATATATATAATTACAAAAGATAAACTCGCTTTACTCACTATTTTGCAGTAACACATTACCGCTCTATTCCTTCAGTCTTCCTGTAATATTACTTTTAAAAGGGACAAATACTTTTCTGGAAAGCCCCATTTCTAATGTTTTAAGGAATTTAGGAAAAATCTCTATATCTGTTGAAGTCACATCTATTAACAATGAGAAAAACAACGCATGAGCTAATTTGAGGCCTTAGTTTTTTGCCTACAGTGAGCTCAAGTTCATACTTCTGATTATTTTTGGAGCTCACAAAAGCTGAGTCTCCAAACTGCTGTACTTTGAGATTTAATGTCCTCTACCATCCTTAACTCTTTCTGGGTTTTACCAAATACTCTCTCCTCTCACAGGAGTACAGATTTTAGAATCGTGTTGTGTTTGTTGTATCTCAGAGAAATGGAATTGGAAATGAAAAAGATTCAAGGAAATAAACTTTTCTCTCCATTTCCATGAAATGGACTAGGAAAAAGCAGGACCAACAATATAGTTTGCTTCTTCAATATTTCCAACTTACATTTGTTATTACCACCTCTCTAACCCCCTCCCCCAGCCTGATGGAAAAATAAAAAACAGATTGAAGGATGTATAGTGTCTCTTTGAATTCCTCATATTTGTCCTTAGACACTTCAAGAAACATCTAGGTTGGAGGTGGAGTGAAGCTTCTGTTTAGCATTAGGGTTAGCATTCTTCTGTTGCGATTGTGTTGTGAGATATACCTGTTTTTAGCTCTCTGCTGCCAGGAGATTTGAGCATAAAGGTAGAAAAAAACAGACAAACATCTTGTCTTAAATCTTTTTCTATCAAGGCCTTTTATTTTCCAGTCTATTTTATTTTCCAGAACAGAACAGAAACTTTATTTCAAATGTTTTTCTTTGGCACAAATGATTAGAAGAATCTCTATGACGAGATTCCTGATAGCTATTGCTGATAATGTTATAGCAACAAGAGTGCTGAGTGTTGTTGAGATTCACATTCAATAACTGTTAGCACATAAGCTCTCCCCACCAAAGTCCCCTTCAGTCCCTTTGTGGGTTTTTTTTGTTTGTTTTGCAGTAAGGACACTTAACATGAAATATGTTCTCCTAGGAAACTTTGAAATTCACAATAGCATATTGTTAGCCATAGGGATAATGCGTACAGCAGTTCTCTAGAAATTATTCATCTGAAATAAGTTCTAACTGAAACTTTATATCCATTGAACAAAATCCCTAGCACT